GAAGGAATGTTACTAAGGAGTAGCTCCTTTGCAAGTAAGCCCTCAACCATTTTTCAAGCTTATGGCCATTGCAGCATTCCCATGGCTACGTGATCAAAATGCAGAGGCATGGCAATAGCAATAGCAGTTAGACTTATATACCGCTTCATAGGGCTTTCAGCCCTCTCTAAGCGGTTTACAGAGTCAGCATATTGCCCCCAACAATCCGGGTCCTCATTTTACACACCTCAGAAGGATGGAAGACTGAGTCAACCTTGAGCCGGTGAGATTTGAACAGCCGAACTGCAGAACTGCAGTTAGCTGAAGTAGCCTGCAGTGCTATACTCTAACCACTGCGCCACCTCGGCTCTCCGGTATGGCAATTTGGCTCATATTAGGGACGGTTGCAGTGTCCCGGAGTCACGCAATCACTTTTCGCGACCTTCTGACAAACTCAATGGGGAAGCCAGATTTATTTAACAACCTGGTTACTAACTTGACAAGTGCAGTCATTCACTTAACTACCGTGGCAACTAAGGTCATAAAATGGGGAAAAACTCGCTTAACAATGGTCTTGCTTGCCAACAGAAATTATTGGCTGAATTGGGGGTCGTAATTTGACCTGCATATTTCTGCCTATTCTTATTTATGTTAATTTTGGAGACCGCCCATCTCACAGAATAACTCTGTGAAGAATGAAGGATGATAAGATCCGAGTTCAAATCCTCACTTGGGCATGAAACATACCTCAGTGAAACATACCTCGCAGGATTGTTGGGAGATTAAAAATGGTGATTAGAGCATTCTCTGTGAATGCCTATTGTGAGATTCCCAAGGCAGCAAAAATAAAGCATTTTAAGCCAGTGCAGAATATGCAAAACCTGGGAGAAATTATAGTTTTTGTAAAACAGTTCTCAAAACTCCTTGGGATATTTCTTGTTTGTTTCAGGTGCCGGTATCTTCCAAAGACAGGATTGAAGATGCACGCAATCCTGTAAAGGAACTGCTGTTTGTGGAGAAGGAAGAAAATATTCCTAGGATTCGGAGATCAACGCATCAAGGTTTGTGGATTTAGCACAGTTGACTCGATGTCTGATGCAAGGAAAACTTGTAGTGGTGCCAAATGCTACCCTTTGAAACTCTTGGGTATATTTAGCTCAGGGGTGTCTAAACTTGGGAACTTTAAGACTTGTGGACTTCAACTCCTAGAATTCCCCAACCAGGCTGGTGGAGAGTTTGGGAGGTCTGCAGAGTGCAAAAACTTTTTTAAAAAAATCTACCTCTTCAAAATCTTGATGCGTCTTATACTCCGAAAAGTATGGTAAGTCATGCTACAATCGATTTGATGACACATAATAAATAAAAAGCGGGACGCGGTGGCTTAGTGCCTAAGGCGCTGAGCTTGTCGATCAGAANGGCAGGAGATGGGCTGCCCACTGGTCCCGAGGCCATCGGCAAGCTTTGGCCACTTGCTCAAAGGAGGCCAGAAACTCCTTGGTGTCCTCCCAGGGAGAAGCCTCGGACATCCCAGAGCTTCCCCGTCCTGTTAAAATGGGCTGCAGAGATTTCAGGAACTGCTGGAGCTGGGCTTCCCAGCGCTCCTGCATCCCGTGACAGGTCTCCCTTTCGCAATGTTGTGACGCTCCCCATCCCAGGCACTCCTTCTTATGCTGGCGATGAATTGCACTGGGGGTTTTTTCTGTTCCTTTTGGCTCCCGATCTGTCCCTGCAGCTCTTGGCTCATTCATTGCTTCCTCAGCAATGGTTTCTCATTCAATACATCATATTTCAGTTAGATATCTGAGGGAATTTATACATACAATTATAAAATGCAGTGGATCTTTGTGATCTGAGTACCAATTACTAAGCTATCTATTAGATTGTGAATTTTTTTAAAAAAATTGTTCATGTTTAAATAAAGTCTTTTATTTGATTTGGGGACCCAGTTTGTTGAGGGAAATATGCTGACTCTGTAAACCGCTTAGAGAGGGCCGTAAAGCACTAAAGGTAAAGGTTCCCCTCGCACATATGTGCTAGTCTTTCCCGACTCTAGGGGGCACTATTCATATCTATTTCAAAGCCAAAGAACCAGCGCTGTCTGAAGACGTCCCCATTTTTCTACTTGCATTTTTACATGCTTTCCAATTGCTAGGGTTGGCAGAAGCTGGGACAGGTAATAGGAGCTCACTCTGTTATGCAGCACTAGGGATTCGAACCGCCGATCTTTCTGATCGACCAGCTCTGTATCTTAGCCACTGAGCCACCGCATCCCTATATCTTCAGACGCACTATGAAGCGGTATATAAGTCTAAGTGCTACTGCTTTTTTTTTTCCATTTTTCCATTTTCCAATCGGGAAATAATTACTTTTTATTGCATGATTTTATCCAAACAAAGATTTAAAAGAATCACCCTTAACCATGGAGGATTCTGGGCGAAAACTTCCCACAATTGAAAACAGAAGCTTAAAGGAAGCTACTTTTGTTCTCCGAAATATAAAAGAAGAAATGATACAATTTAATCCAGAGCAACTAAGTCATCATTAAATCCTTTTACCAGCCGGTCCTATCACATGTACCCATTTTATTCCCACTACTCTTTCATTTTTTGTATCTCACGTGTTTAAAAATGGATGAGGTGCCATTGCAGCACTGTGCACGCAGGACTCCAACAGGGCATCTTGATAAGTTAGTATTGTTGATAAGTTAGTATAGGCAGTCCTCGACTTACAAACAGTTCATTTAGTGAACGTTCAAAGTTACATCACTGAAAAAAGTGACTTGTGACCATTTTTCATACATATGACCATTGTAGCACCCCCGCAGTCACATGATCAAAATTCAGATGTCTGTCAACCGATTCATACTTATGACAGTTGCAAGGTCCCAGGATCATGTGATCATCTTTTGAGACCTTTTGACAAGCAAAGTCAATGGGGGAAGCCAGGTCCACTTCACCAACATGTTACTAACTTAACAATTGCGATGATTCCTTTAACGACTGTGATAAGAAAGGTTGTAAAATGTGGGGGGGGGGGGAGAAACTCATTTAAAAAATGTCTCACTTAGCAAACAGAAATTTGGGGCTCAATTGTGGTCGTAAGTTGTAAACCTGTTCTTTTACATGACTCGGGCTTCTCCATTGACTTTGCTGGCCAAAAGGTCGCAAATGACCCCAGGACACTGCAACTCGTCATAAATACGAGTCAGTGGTGTGAATTTTGATCACATGATCAAAAGGGTCACGAGTGTGGAAAAACGGTCACGAGTCACTTTCTTTCAATGCCGTTGTGATGTTGAACGGTCACTAAGTGAACTGTTGTAAGTCGAGGAGCACCCCATGGAGAAGGAAATATGGCTCTCCTAATCATTTCCCCTCAAAGTCTGAGTAGCTGCTCCACAGGTACCTCTTTCCAACACCGCCTCAAGGGTCCTAAGTGTGAAAAAAATGGCCACCAGTCATTTTTTTCCAGTCATGTTGTCACTTTGAACCGTCACTAAACGAGTCTCCGGCTCTATCCCACCTCAGCTGAACCAGACCGGCCCAACGCGGCCCTCAAGCCTGTCAAAAGGCCCCTTCAGTCACCCAAGCAAAGGCCCAGCGCCCTCGCCTCTTTTTCTCTCCACCCCGCCTGAGGTGTTCCGTGAAGGGAGCCAGAGCGACAGGGGAGTCCGCCCCCCCACAACCGTACCGGAAGTAGCCAGGAGGCCGGCGGAAGTCCAGGCCGCTGCCTTTCCGTCTTGTCGGCTGGGCAGGAGACTGGGGACAACGGCCGGGAATCTTGACTTGGCTGGGCGATTCCTTCCCAGCTAGAAAGGAGCCGCTCCGGCAAACAACAGGAAGTGAGAGGCATTTCCGGAAGGCCCGCTCTGCTTTTTCATTGGTCCTTTCCCTTCCGCTTTCTGCTCACGGGCTTAGTTCTGCGCGCGATTGCCCCTAGCGGTCGTCTCCTGCATGACCCGCCCTTGATAGTCTTGTAGGGAAGCTGATGCTGGAAGTTTAGGGAGGATTGAAAGCTCCGGTTCAGGCTTCTCAGCTTGGCTTCAGACCGTGATATCAATCAATCAATGAACAATCAATCAGAATAGAGCTGGAAGGGACCTTGGAGGTCATCTACTACTCCACCACCACCCCCTGATCAAGCAGGAGACCTATAATCTGACACCATTTCTGACAGATGGCAGTCCAGTCTCTTCTTGAAAGCTTTCCAATAATCAAGCTCCCACAACAACTTCTGCAGGCAACTTCTGTCACTTTGGTCGAATCCTTTTCCTGCCCTTCCTGAGGCCAGCTTTGGTTTTCTGAAGTACAGGTACAGGTAGTCCTCGACTTACAACAGTTTGCTTAGTGACCATTCAAGGTTACAATGGCACTGAAAAAATGACAATTTTCCACACTTATGTTTGTTGCAGCATCCCCTGGTCACATAATTTACATTCAGATCAGTGGTGGGTTTCAAAAATTTTTAGAACCTCTTCTGTAGGTGTGGCCTGCTTTCTGGGAGTGGCTTGCCAGCCATGTGACTGGGTGGGAGTNCAAAGTTCCATTTTATTAGAGATGTCATATTGGCACATCTGGGAAAACCCGAATCTGAAAGTTTCCAGGTTTTCCCCACCCAAGTGAAAGTTCAAATCTCTGCCCAGCGCCCACGTGTCCGTCACATGGTCCAATCAAGCACTGCCCAAAACTGGAGATGCCTCCCAGTCACACCATTGCAGCTGCATTGCAAGGTGTCCTTGTCGCTCTGAGAAAAGAATGTTATTTTGACTATATATCACCCATACTCCATTATAATCCCCCCTCCCATTTTCCCACAGCAGAAAATGTGGCAGGCCTGAAGGACCAAATGTAAAAGATGACTTCCAGGTCTGACAGCAGCGGTCGTAGAGTGAACACCAGTCATTAAGTGAATGCCACAGTCATTAAGTGAACCCATTAGTCACGATGAGTGTCTTTTACCAGAAACTGGAAATAAGGGCTGATTTCTAGCAAAAATGACAATATTTTTTGCCAGAACTCAGCATTTACTTCCAGTTTCTGGCAAAAATGGGGTCAGATCTGGCAAATTGTGGTCAGATTGCAAACAGTTGTAAATGCGGGCTGATGTCCAAGTTCCGAAATTGCAATCACGTGATGGGGAGTGGGGGGGGGGGGCTGCCACCGTAGCTTCAAATCCAGATCCTGTCTATTTTGTGGTGTGTCACAACTTTGAATGGTTGCTAAGCAACCAACTATGCTGAGGACTATTATAAAAAATAGATTAAATGACATTGGCTCTCAGGTATTTTTAATACTGAATAATCAGTAAAGGAGTAGCAATGCTCATATTTACTATATACTTATATTTTTTTCTGAATGTTACTACAATACCTGGTAGAAATTTTGATTGTGTGACTGCTAGGATGCTGCAACAGTCATAAGTGCAAGGACTTGTCATAAGTCAGTGTTTTCCGTGGTTGTGTAACTTTTAACAGTCCCTAAACAAATGGTTGTCAGTTAGGGCTACCCGTATAGAGAAAGATGACACGTTCAATTAAGTACTAAAGTGTTTTCAACAGAAGCCAGATATCTGTCCGTCCAAAAGATTTAGAAGATCCCGCAATGAGCAGGGGTTGGACTAGATGACCTTTGAGGTCAGTTCCAACTCTAGAATTCTTCAGAAAGGACACACTTTGTGTGCTGGTCCTCCTGCCCTGTTTTTCTACTGGGAGGCTTCCCATCTTCTGGATTGTCAGCTGAAGGCAAACTGAGTTTCTGGAGGTCAACTTGCAATCCTTAATGGGGCTCAGTGTTTTACGGCCGAATACAAAGACCCAGTTTGGCCTAGTGGTTAAAGCACCAGGCTAGAAAGCAGGAGGCCCATGTTGTGGCCTGCCAGCGGCCAGTGGAGCTGGCAACAGATTCGGACATTGAGGAGGTTGGGGAGGAAGATGAGCCAGTCCTGGAGAAGGCTCTGAGGAGGGCTCTGTGTCGGAGGCAGAGAGGCGGCCAGAGCTGTCTGACAGTTATCAGCTGCCTTCAGAGTCAGACATCAGTGTGACAGAGGAACAGCTGGAGCCTGTTCCCAGTGTGCGCGTGCGCAGAGTTACCACACAAAGGGAACAGCTAAAGAACAGGGGTAGACTTGGGAGTAAGGCCAAGTAAGGTGGACAATGAATGGCCCCTCCCAGAGGAAATAAAAGAGGAGCAAAAGGGGAGTGGAGTTTGCATGAGACAATTAGTTCGCTTAGAGAGTCCTTGCCAAGTTTTGCAGATATCACCCTGGCAGCTCTCCAAGCCAGATAAGGTTTGTGACTGTAAATCCTCCTTGAAAGACTTTGCTGGACGTGAATAAGCAGAATTCACAGTAAATTAATACAAGGGGTTTTTGTCGGGACCAGGAGTTTGCTTCATGCTCTTGGGAAGCCTCGGTCAGAACAGCCCATGAGTTCAAGTCCTGCCTTTTAGCCATGAAAGCCAGCTGAGTGACCTTGGGCCAGTCACATTTTCTAAGCCCAACCCATCTCCAAAGGTGGTTGTGGGGAAAATAAGAGGAGAAAGGTGTGTTGGATATGCCTTAGGTTAGTTGTAAAAAATAGTACAGGGGGATGCAAATAAATAAATAAAATAGAAATCACAATTTGAGCTCCTTCTTGGTTCAGGGATCGGTGGACTTTGAACTGGCTGTGCATTTCACTGAGGGAGAATGCTCCTCACTGCACCCAGCCCCAAAAGCTTTTTACAGAGAGATCCTGCAAGATGGCTGCGAGCAGGAAACATCTTTGGGTAAGTCAAGAACCCCTTTTCCATTATTACCCCTGGAAGAAAAGAGGGTGGAAAAAAGGTTTGTTCCTCTGTTTAATTTTTTAAAAAACTCCATATTGCATCCTAGTGGTGTTGCAGGAAAATAATTTGCTTGGCAATATTTTATTAATTTATTTAATTTATTTAATTTATTTAATTTATTTAATTTNCCTCTATTTCCACGAAAGTAAAAGCCTATTTAAACTGCAGTGTCTCTGTGTGCTGGTTTGTGTGTTCTCCAACACACCTCTCACAACGCTTCTCTGAACGCACTCGCTCTCCCAACGGGGAGCTTTCCTAACAGTTAACATAACCTTACAATAAAGCTGACACTCATGGTTATCTGCTTCTTATTTGGACTGCCTTGCAGGGCTAACGGACCCCTTTTGAAGGAGGATTTTTTTAAAACAAACATTACTTATTCGACTTAGAATAATTTTGTTGACACTTTGAATGTACGCTAATCTGCAAAAATTAAAATAAAATTTCATTGCATACAGCTCTCAAAGGGTCACCACCTCCTATCTACACTACATGAACATGACAAAATAAATAATAAATACAAAAGTATGTGTGTACCCACATATATTATATGACACCGAGAAACAACAAAGTCTAGTTTGGATATATACATGTACATGGCAACGAAAACGAATCTTGCGAGTTTACCTCCTTTGTTGCTTAGTTTTTTTTTGTTCCTAACTAGCCTTTTCTGATCAAGCAGCTGACCAAAACGAACTACCATATTTTTCGGAGTATAAGACACACCTTTTTCCCTCAAAAAAGAGGCTGGAAATCTGGGTGTGTCTTATACACTGAATTTGCCTCCCGAAACCCTGCCCCCCTTCACCAAAGTGGCCGTGCATAGCCTTTAGGAGGCTTCCAGAGTGCTCCTGGGGGCTGGGGAGGGCATTTCTTGCTCAATCCCACCCCCCAAGCCTGTATAAGCCTACTAAAGGCTATGCATGCCCTTCTTTTGACAAAAAACAGGCCCATTTTTGGGAGGTCCGCAGTGTGCAAAAAAACTTTTTTTTTTAATTTGCCTCTTCAAAATCTTGGTGCATCTTATACTCTGAAAAATACAGTACTCTAAATTAACCCCCTTTGAAATGAGGTAGCAATAGCATTTAGACTTATATACCACTTCACAGTGCTTTACAGCCCTCTCTAAGTGGTTTACAGAGCCAGCATATATGCCCCTAACAACCTGGGTCCTCATTTTATCCACCTCAGGAGGATAGAAGGCTGAGTCAACCTTGAGTCGATCAGGATTGAACTCCTCCTGGCATTGGGCAGTTAGCCTGGACCATTAGTATACAGGCAATCCTCAACTTTACAACTATTCGTTTCGTGACCGTTCAAAGTTACAACAGCACTGGAGAAAGTGACCTACGACTGGTTTTCACACAACTGTTGCAGCATCCCCATGATTAACGTGCTCCAAATCCAGATGCCTGGCAACCAGTTCATGTTTAGGGACAGTTGCAGTGTCCCAGGGTCACGTGATCCACTTTTGCGACCTTCTGACAAGCAAAGTCAACAGGGAAGCAGGATTCACTTAACAACTGTGCTAATAACATATAACAGCTGCAGTGATTCATTCAAGAACAGCGGCAAAGAAAGATTGTAGAATGGGGCAGAGCTCGTTTAACAACTGTCTTGCTTAGCAACATAATTTTTTTTGGGGGGGGGTCAATTGTGGTGGTAAGTTGAGGACTACCTGTATATCAAAGAGTAACCGATCAATTTATATCCTGCACTCTTTGCAGCAATGATCGTGCACGGATTATTGTTCTGAAAAAAATCCTTCAGAAAAATGAACCGGGCCATCTAAGAATTAAATATTGAGAAAGATTCTGATCAGGAAGACATGCTTAGATACCGAGTTGGCTATTGCTAAGGTTCACAGAGAGCCTTAGCCTCCCACAAGGAGACGGCAGGTTAAAAAAATTTGATAGATTGATAAATACATACACGCATTCATAATTGCCAAAGTTTTACAGGTCTGACCAGATGCAAGGATATAACATAAGGGTGCATTCAGTCCTATTAGGACTCCGTTGGGGCAACTTTTCTGACCCTCGATTAACGACTAGCATTGTCCAAATTATCTCCTCCACAAAGCTGAAGCGGTTGAAGGGATTTTGCCCCCTCCCACCCACACCCCCAATTGGGTCACCCATAAAAACTCACAAAAGGAAAAGCAGAGGAAAATTTAAGAGCTTCTGATTTCTGACCCAGCAATTTGGCATCCACATCCGGCTCAGGTTCACCGCAGACTGGTCCCTTGGGGGCCTTCGGGGCCTCGTTCTCTGCTACTAGGAAGTCCACAGGCTCTTCTTTTAATGGACCCTGAAAGAGGAAACAGAATGGAGATTCTCAGTCATCCCAGGTTGAGGTTATCCCAAAGGTGCTTTTTTTTTTTTCAAGGGGCAACTAGATTTTTCAGGGTTTTTCCTTTGAAGACGTTTTGCTTCTCATCTGAGAAGCTTCTTCAGCTCTGACTGAACGGTGGGAAATGGAAGGATTTATACCCCTTGCGGACAAAAGAGTGGCCTTTGTCTTTTAAATGCAGATGGACTGCTGAATGTAGTCCTGATGGAGCTAGACCAGGGGTTTGTTTGTTTGTTTGTTTATTGGATTTATATGCTGCCCTTCTCCCAAAGGACTCAGGGCGGCGTACAACATTAAAAAAAACACTTATTACAAAAGTTAAAAGAAAATTAAATTCAGCAGGTTCTGGAGGACCGGTAGTGGAAATGTTGAGTAGTTCGGAGAACCAGCAAAGGCCACCTCTGGCTGGCCCCAGAGTGGAGTGGGAATGGAGATTTTGAAGTATCCTTCCCCAACCACGCCCACCAAGCCATGCCCACCAAGCCACGCCCACGGAACCGGTAGTAAAAAAAAAATTGAATTTCACCCCTGGACTAGATTAATCCTGGTTTTGAAGACTGCAAAGTCCACATTTTGGACAGAGAGGACTACTGATTTGAAAGAGGGGCAAAAGAGGCCACCTATGTCAAAATTGCACTGCGCTCTCTCAACAGAGGGGGAGGGATACGCCATCATCTATCTCCAGTGTACAGCACAGTCCTGGGCGACACAAGTGGCCTCAATGGCTCTCTAAAAGAATGCAAATGACCAGCTGTCTGCAAAGGGCATAAATCCTTCCATTCCCCACCATTCACTCAGAGCTGAAGAAGCTTCTTGGGTGAGAAGTGAAATGTCTTCAAACAAAACCATTTTTAACATTATTTTTCATGAGGCTCTTTGAAAGTCAATTAGCTGTCTAATTATAAGGATGAGATTGCCAAGTCCCTTCTACCAGTGCCAGGATATATTTGGGACAAAGTACAGCAGTACGATTATCACTGCATTAACACCCTTTATTTTATTTATAAGTCTTCTATAGTCCACTTTACGCACCATAAACCTGGGTGGCTTACAAATATCCTCAGTTGAATTTTGCCAATTCGATATGTGATTATTAGCTGCTGTGCTGTCCTGCTCCCTCACACACATAACTGTGGTGTAGTGAGTTTATTAATACTCCCCAGCAGTTCCCTTCACCAAAAAACCCAGAACTGTCTCAATGAAGTCCACCCACAAGCAGACCAATGTTAGCCCCCAGAGCAATGGAACAAGAGTTCCCAAAGCACTTGAAAACTCCACAGACTAAATAAATCCACCAGGCAAACTTAAAATCCATCACCGGGCAAGAAAACTCCAGAGTTTCCAAGACAATCAAAGTCAAGGCATGATGGTGTCAATCTAAAGGGAGGCAGGAATCACAAGGACTGGAAAGCACACAGCTAGAAAATAAACACATTGTTCCCAGCAACGGCTCCCTCTTTCTGCGGTGCTAAATAGCCAGCTTCCAGTGCAGCCGTATCAAGAAGAGTAGCGAGAGAGGAGGAATATATCCATTGGAAAGCTGCAGGTCATAAGCCTAGGAGTGGGCTTGCAGGCTTCACTGAACCAAAGTTTTAAACTGGCATAATTGCAAAATGTACCAGACCTATTTGCTGATTTGTATGCTGCATTTTCTGCAAAGTTTGTACTTGTACGGATATATTTAGAGCAGGAAGAATGAGATGGTGGGAAATGAGGAACTGAAAATTGTTAGGAATATAATCTAACGGTTGGGTTGGCAACATATAAATCATACAGCAATGCTGTACCTGTTTCTTTAAATCATACTGTAAAATGTGATTGGTTGCTGTTTCCTCAATAGGCCATAAGAGGAAGCCAGAATGACTGTTAGTTCTCTGTTTCGTTAGATGCTGGGCTGATCTGATCTGAGTGTTTTTGGAAGCTGGCTGTTAG